CACACACACACACACACACACACACACACACACACACACACACACACTCCTCACCTCCTTCTCGTCCTCGGGTTCTCCCCCCGTCAGCGGAGCGTACAGGATCATGTACCCAGAAGCCCCGGCGGCCATCTTCCAGCGGACCCTCATGGTGCTGTGAGAGATGTCGAACAGCTCGAGGTCGTTCACCATCGGCAGAGCCACTGCAGGAACACAAGCACACAGCACAGACTGTAACACTTCTTTCAAACACAAAAAATACACCACGATATTAAATAAAACGGATTAAATCCCAAAAGATTATATTAATATAATTTTTTGTTATTTTAAGATATTCATTTTGAAAGCCGACAGCTTCTCTGAGACTTTATTTTAGACTTTCAGCTTCAATAAGTTCAAATAAAATCTAAATATCAGGAACGGTTTGACCAATAACTTTTATTAGATCCAGCATATTCAGTCAGCGTTTCATGGCAGGAGAGAGAAAAACAGCAAAATCTGCAATTAAATGTTATTTTCTTCTACATTTTAATTGCTATTCTAACTGTTTATGTCTGCTTTCAATGAATGCACTTTGCTTTAAACTTAGTGTGCGATTACAATCTCCATTTAGAATATTAAATAATTATCTAAAACCGTCCTTATTTAGTCAACTCCTCTCCCACACATTTCTTCTGCTGTTTCACTTCCTGTGTTTTCTATGAAGCACCACGACCCCAAAGACCAGCATCAGTGTTTGGTGTCACGTTTCACGCGTTGCCGTAGGAACAGTCCAGCTGAACCCCATTAACTTTGTCTCAAGGTCGACCTGCAGCACAGCATTCATCCTCCTCCGGCGGGGAGGAAGTCCCCGCCATTCATCAGCGAGCGGCGGGAGGAATCCTGGTTCAGTGTTTCAGACCCCGTGACGGAATTAGAGCTCACGGCGGGCGTCCTGTCTGAAGGGTGGAGGATGCAAAATGCATCACCTGTGCAGTGTTCATGGCCCAAATTCAGAGACTCCTGGTCGATCGGTGTTTCTATCAAAGATGCTGAAGATGAGCCGAGAGTCTAGATCATATAATGTTTCATTCCATTCCTTTAGAGCAACAGGAAGCGGTTCAATGAAGGATCTAATCCCACTTAAGATGGGAGATCATTCTGGATGTTAAGCCCGAGAAAACAATTATTCACCAAGAACTGGATTTTAATAAAACATTTAATTATAATACTCTCATGCATGTTTAACACGCAAAAGCTTTTTTTGGTGTGTGTGTGTGTGTGTTTACTCTCATAACATAAAATGAGAAAGATGCATATTTGTCTCCATGGCGCCTTCCTCTGAAGCTGATCAGGACTAATACATAACAGAGTGAGTGCCCATTCTGAGGCGAGGAGCTAAAGTTAGCTTGTTAGTAGCAAAATGCTAAACGCTAAAAATAAGCTTTCAAAGTAACAAAAGCACTCGGTGAAGCTCTACGTGTGTAAGTCAGGTAAGAAAAGTTAAAATACGTCAACCTGGAGGGTTGTCAGTCAAGAATAACTGCATTTCCCAGCATGCTTAGGAACTCTGTGTATCCCTCTTTAAAGGACCTGCATGTCCCCCATTGTCCTCACTGCATTCTGAACTCTAAACTCACGTGTGGTGGCGCTTCCTCTCAGGGCCGAGCTGGCCGAGGTGCGGTAGACGGCGAAGACGGCCACCTGGTACTCCGTCAGAGAGTTGAGGTAGTTCAGCTCCACGCTGCTCTCCGTCCCCTGGACCACCTGAAAGACAGATCACACCCGGTCTCAGTCGGGATGCTGCGGAGCTGCTTTACGCTCTAAGAAGACTCACTGAGTCGGGTTTCTACAGACAAACAAGTGCGTTTGTCTGTCGTGTTTACAGTTTGTCACTTGAGGGAAATAAAACTCTGATAGCGTTAATTAGCTCTGATGTTGTGCTCTTAGTCACTTTGGGACAGTCAAAAAATCCCCCAAAATCTTCTGTTCATTAGGAACGGTTTGAAGAAAAACAAACTGCGCCACATGTTGCTGAAGGCGCTCAGCTCGTCTCCAAAGAGATTTAAATTGAGTGGAACTAGATCAGATCAGCTTTGATGAAGCCTCCGTCTACCTAGTGGGGGGAGAACGGGGCCGATGCAGCTGCAAGTCGTAAGAAACATCAAAGAGAAACTGGTTAAAAAAATGGTATAAAAATACGAGCTCAGATAATTACAGTACCGTGTGTGTGTGTGTGTGTGTGTAGTTCTATAGGAGGATCTATTTTAGACCTCGCAGCAGAATATATTGCAGGATTCTGCAGAATTGTTGCCGTAAACGATGCAAAACCTATTAGAGAAAGTTCATTCAAGCTGCAGAAGTGACCCCTGAAAGATGAAGCTCAGCAGCTTAATTAAAATGCTGCCGTCACATCGGCCCTCTGTTTACCCTCTGCTGGGAAATCAGGAGCAAAGTCACAACAATTAAACGATGAGCAGCCAGAGAAACACTTAACTTAAATTATGTGATGCAACTCCAATACAAAGTTTGGTTGAGTATTGTTCCTCGTGGCAGAAAAACAATGAAAGAAGAGCGAGGATCACACTTTGAGTTTAATCCGGGTACCTTCTCCTCCGGCTGTCCTCCGCTGGCTGGGTAGTAGACCACGCGGTATTTCTCCACCTGACCCGGCGCGCGCGTCCACGTCACCCGGAAACTGCGTGCCGTGATGTCAGACGTCACCAGGTCGCGGGGCGGCGCCACGGAGCCGGGCGGGGGGGCTGGTTCTCCTCCCACTGCGGGAGCAGAGGAGCAACAAGCAAAAGGGAACTCAGCAATATGTTTTTGCCTCGCTCTGATGGTTTCTCTCTGTTTTACTTACTTTATTTTGTCTTATTCTAATTTTTGTTTATTTATTTAATTAATTAAAAGATAAGGAGGCTCCTCCTTCAACTCCTTCCTCAAATCCCCACATCCAAATATTTATATAAAGTTTAAAGGGACCATGTACAAAAAATAGATTTAATAGATTTAGCTGCTAGATAGTTTCCCTGAGCAGCTGAACTGAGACATCATGCCCACTACAGACAGACCAGAAGGATGAACTCCTGACCTCTCACGGCTTTGTGCGTCTGGCTGTTTGTAAGTTTAGTGTACAAAGCGATCAATGATCTGGCTCCTCCCCCATTTAAAGAGTTCATAGAGGTGTCACATAACCCAATCATGTACCCATCACGCATGACGAGTGTTAATGTTTTTGTTGTGCTGCGCTAATATTGCTGATGTTGTTAATATGTACTGTCTTGTATGTGTGTTTGTTTACTACAGTGTTAGACTACAGATGTAAGTTAGCTCAAAGCTAACTCTGTAAATAAACCAGAGGACGTCGCTCAAACCTTTCATCTGCTTGTCGAGCTGCTCCACTCGGTCACACACGGTCTTGGTGAGACCCTCCACGATGTCGCTCATCACGCTGAAGTCCGCCACGTTGTACACGTGAGTTTCCTCCGGAGGAGACGCGATCGCCTTCAGCTCGTTCTCATCAGCATTTTTCACACCTGGGCGAGGGGGGGGGGGGAGAGACAGACAGACAGACAGATCAGGAAGTGGCTAACATGAAAGGTGTTTGAAGTTTTTCATGATGCAAGAAGTCGATGAGGTTTCTCCACCTGTTACTCGGAGGAAACTTCTCTCTACTGAGGACGACTAACTTTATTTTTTTCACCCGTTCGAAAGTCATAAAACGGGAGAAAACTATTTCAATCAGACTTCATCATTTGCCTCTCAAGGCTTCCGTACATTTGATTTCATACATCAATCTGTAATTTCCAGTTTTCTTTGACTGCTCTTTGGATTCTTTTAGCATCAACAAAGTCTTGCAGCATTTCTCTGTGTTTTAAACGTATTCATGTCCTGTCAATGAATACGTTTACATGCACACTCATAGTCCTCTATTATTAAAACAGGTGTGATGTGTTGATATTATTCTGGATTCAGGAGAACAGATTTTGACACAAAGTAGCAAAACGGCACAAACGGCACAAACGGCTCCCAACATTCCACTTGTTTCCGTATTTAGATGAGATAAACAACGTGTTAGGGCATCGAACCCTTAAACACACCAGTGATGAGGATGAGACATGATGTTGTGTTACGTTAATCGGAATCTGAACGGCTGCATGTAAACGGGAATATTAGTGGAATATTGTGCAGAAACCAGAATATTTGGTGCACGTAAACGAAGACGGTGTCAATCTGGATCGTTAAGTCTGAGCGTACCGATGGCGAACAGTTCGATCCCGGCCTCCCTCAGGCTCCGCGCAGGAGGTATGACGTCATCCTGGGACTTCCCGTCGGTGATGAGGATTCCTATCTTGGGAACGCCGGGTCTGGACCCGGCCTCGGGTTTGAAGCTGGTCTCCAGGATGAAGGTCAGAGCCAGACCTGGTGCACGCACAAAGAAAAGGAACCCAGTGAGACACGGAGACACGATCACAAACAACACCTGAAATACAGAGCAACACATTATG